AGCCCAAATAACCAAAGCAATCTTAAGCAAAAAGTTCAAATCTAGAGGCATCACATTACCTGCCTTCAAATTATACAAGGCTATAGTAACCAAACCAGCACAGTATTGGTGTAAAGGTAGAGACGTAGACTAATGCAATAGAATAGAGAACCCAGAAATAAAACCATATAGCTATGACCAACTGATTTTTGACAAAGCAGACAAAAACACACACTGAGGAAAGGATGCCCTATTCAGTGAATGATGCTGGGAAAATTGGACAGCCACATGCAGAAGAATGAAACAGGATCCCTATCTCTCACCATATACAAAAATTTGCTCTCCTACTCCTTCATATGACCTGCGACTGGAAGAGGCCATTAAATGCTCAAGTTTACTCTCTGTTACAGACTGGCCTGCGAAACACAATTTATCCAGATGTCCGAATACACATACGAATGACACCTAGTACAGGTTGGAGTGTTCCTCTATGTCTTTAATAAAACAAATGCTAAGAACCCCTCGTTTGTTCCTTGCCGTCTTTCTCAGCAGTTATCATCATGAAGAACCTTTATCCCACCACACTAGCGTGATACTATGGTGGAATGTTAGCTGTCAATTGGCCTGTATGCTATGAGCTCTGAGGTCTAGGCAGGGCAATTCAAGTGCTTCTGTGCGAGCTTTTCCCCCACCATTTACATATTACATAACCTCAACAGGAGAAACTTATGAAGTAAGGGTTCTCAGTCCTTTGGTGCGAGTATGGCGGACAACGTGACAGATGTCAAGCCGAGATGAATAGTATAATGTATGGGCCAGGTCACACAGATGAGTGAGCTAGAACTGAGCAGTTTTAACCCCACAAGGCCCTGTCTATTCCAGGCCTTCTTCCTCCGTCTGAAAGTAATTCTACGAATACTAATTGCTTTTTATTATTGTTTATTTGCTTAGCTCTCTATATACTTATCATTTTCTATGTACTTCATCTCCAAATTCTCCTCCAGGTGTCTAAATCCTCTCTCAGTATGTCCAAGACCCATCTAGGTCTATTGATTTGATCTGCTTGGCACCATCTGTCCTGAAGTCTTTGTTCAGGACGGTGCTGTTATCCTGACATTAACTTTGTCATCATCGTAGGGTCTCTTTTCTCTCTGTTTCATTCTTCTTGGTTTTCTCTTCTCGGTACCCTTTCTTTCTCCTGGTCTGCCACCTACATTTGGGTAGAGCAACATCGTATGATAACTTTCTGAAGAATGTTTTTTTTGTTGTTTTTTTGTTTATCTGTTTTTTTTGAGACAGAACTTGCTCCTGGTTGCCCCAGGTCCTAGATGCCGGGGCCTCAGCTACGCTCACAGCAACCTCAAACTCTCTGACTCCTCAAGCAAATCCCTTCTGCTCAGCTCCCCCTCCGTCACCCCTTCATGAACACCCGAGCTAAGGCGCCAGAAGACTCACAAGCCCCAAATCCGCTGCCCACCTGGCCTCGCTACCATGCCCTACATGCCCGGCAACATCCGCTGCCGAGGACTCCCCCTTTCCGATTCCCCCATGACATTATATTTCTAGGGATTCAGTGGCCGCCTCTAATTAGTACCACAGTCTCTGTGGAGACAGCTCTTTCTATCCTGTTTGCCACCAATTTATTCACTGTCTCATCTCTTGCATAACCCATTCACGCGAATTCACGAGAAATGATCTTTTTACTTGTAATCAAATATATTATCTAATGATTTCTGACTTTCCTTAGCATGGGAACGCTCGCTTACACATTGAGAGCGAAGCAGGGATTTTACGTTATCTCGTCTGAGCGAGTTCCAACACATACAGTCCTGACCTTCTAAAACAGTAGCGGATGATCCTCTTACCTTTAGCCCTCCCAACACGTACAGAATAACAGGCATGAGCCACCAGCGCCCGGGCCTGGCAAGACAAGTCGTTTGATGTTCTTCTTTGCCTGTGGCCAGAAACTTTTAAATTAATTTATGTACCCTATTTATCTTTTTGTTGTTGGTTATTTGCCCTTCTAGGTCTTTTAGTCATAAATTATTTGCCCTAGGGGTGATATCAGAAAGAATTTTTTCTTATGGTTTTCCAGAATTTTGTGGTTTCGTTCTTACCGTTTAGGCTTTTTAAATGCCAATGCTTGAAGTTGTCCATC